ACGAGCCGCTCATTGTGTTTCACAGATTTGTTGGCCGATATGAAGAAATTTCTGTACGACAAGCTTCAATGGAAGTTGACATAATTTTATTGATAATAGTAACCATTTAACTAGCGATTGATAATAAGCGATTTTTAACACATGTATAAGTATATAATAAATTCGATCAATCATATGCTCGAAAAAGAGAACAAAATGTGAACGTAAAACGTTAGCATCAAAATAATGCGTAAATTAAGTGTAACCTCCATCTTCCATGCATAGTCATCGCTCCTTCAAACTGCCTTACATATATTCATGTTCTATTTTCTTCGAGACGCACAAGAACTCTTGAAAAAAATCCTTCCTACGCAAGCATCGACGCGTGCCTGGCGTCGCGACTTCTCTTTCGAAGGTCTCATCTCAGTCTCGATTGAGCTCTAATGCGCCTAATGCCTCCTATAGATAACAAATACTATATGAAAGACTATCGCGACTTTACGAGCCACGCACGGTTCTATTTATGAAAGAAATACGTTATATAGAACGTAGTTATTACATAGCACGGTGTGATGCTTAAATTTGAACGCAGATACTAGTCGAGTTAAGCACCCATTTACGAAGGCGGTTAAATATAGGCACAGTAAGCAAAATATATCCGGCGCAGTAAGCACAGACTTTAACTCAGAAGGCGATTAGCTACACGGCAGGAGCCCATTACTTCATATAAAATTAGCTATATGAAAAGCCCTTAACACTGAATTAGCTATATTATAAAGCCCATGACACTGAATGCAATTAGCTATACGAAAAAGCCTTAACTCTGAACGCACTAGACTGGGACGATGAAACTCTGGAGCCCAATGCGCAGCCGCGGAGCATAGAACAGCTGTTAAGTTTCACTAAAATTATCACAAAAAGTCACGTGTTGGGAGCAGCAGACTCGTCATTATACGCTAATGAGCCAGCTTAGTGATGAAGGCGATGGTGAGGTAATTTAAGACAGTAGTGAGTTGTGAGGCTTGGTGGTGATGGTGAGGACGGCTAAGATGGGGTTGGGAAATGATGCTGAGAATGATTCTGGGAGCATTGAAGTGGTGAGTAATGATGATAGTAAGAGGAACATATGATAGTAATGAATAAATGTTTGGGTGATACATTAAGAAATGAACGAATGATGGTCATAAAAAAAAGTTTAAAATTGCTGTAATGTGTGTATTGAATAAACGATATGGCTACAAGTATATAATGTGGTGATGCTGGTTGGTGATGATGATGTGATGATGATGTGGGGAAAGATAAACAAGAAATTAAAGAAAAGTTTGACGCGTCAAAGGCTCATCAAAATATTTTCCGAACTAATATTCTTTCTAAGAAAATTTTTTGAAACTTCCTGAATTCGACAGAGGTAAAAGATTTCCGTTTTCTTTATTAGAAGTAAAGCATTCTTGAAGTAATTTCAATAAAATTGTAGAAGTAAGTAGGTATTTTGATTCGTAATTTAATTTTTTGACATCGGGAGGGCCATTTTGGTAGAAATTTAATGCTCGATTTGATCTTAAATTTGAAAAAAATTTAACATTTACATAAACTCAAAAGGTTTTAGTAAAAAGGTTCTCGTAAATTATCCGTGAATAGTTACTGGCAGTGTCGTGACTACAAAATATAGTAGAACTTGAAGCCTTATATGTTATGTACTTACTTGCATATTTTCTACCACATCTAATAAACATTTATGAAAGTTTTTTGTATGTATTTGTTTGTATTATTACTGTATTTGTATTTTTTTGTTTTAGTAGAAGGTGGTAATAAGAATTATTGAGGGCAACACCGGCTAACATACTAGCTAATAGCTTTAAATTCTTCTATTTCGATATCCTTTGATATTCTTATTGATTTCCTTTATAATTTATATACTTACCCAGAGTTGATGTTTTCAAGCACAGGTCAGATAATTGATGCATGCAAGCCTCAAAGTCAAGGTTCCGAACAAAAATCTCCACTAGAAATAACGAAAGTTTTTCAACATAAATTCTCTGATGTAATTCTCTATGTCAAAAAAGTAATAATTGTATTTTGAGTTATTTGTAACGTCTGTATTCTCAAACTCAAAGAATAATCCCGAAATTGGTGTTTAATACATATCCTATAAACTCAAATAACTTTATTGGCGAGATAAAGTCAACAAGTCTGTAACTATAAAATTTTTCGGAAATCATTTTACATAAATAACTCAGCGTTCATAATATGAATCAACCGATAGTTTTTTAATATGACGCTTTTAATCGTTCAAAAAAGCCGCATTGGAATGAGATGATGCTGAATCACTATGAAGTAACGCTGCTGAAGACTCAACTATCTATCACGACGCAACCGACGGTAAGGAGAGAAGCAAACTACGCGTCATCACACCACCGAGGTCAGCGAGACACTGACTAGCCGAGCGCCAAACGACCTGCAGTCCGGATACGCGGGTTCCCTCAGCTGCCAGTTGCAGTGTCAGGTCCGGAAAAAGCCGGCTAAATGTACTTCTAATTCTATCACCATCATATTTTTTTGTTTATTATTATATTACCTGCATTAAAGCCCCTACGGCCGTTGTTCTGCATATTGAAATTTATTCCCTCCTAATGTATTTTGCATTTTGTACATATTTTTTTTTTGTTGCACAGTATTTTGTTGCATTTTGTATGAAGTTTTCATTCGTTTCTTTCATTCTGTTCATGCCACTATCCATATCGAATCTCAAGTAATTTATCTCGTAGCGTCAACATTTCATAATATCCTGTTTGTTTCTTAATGTCACCATTTTGTCACACTCGGTCCGTCTCATAATGCCACTATTTTGTCATTTTTTGTTCGTCTATTACTCTGGTGCCATAGTCACTTGGTCTCCGATTGTAACACTTATGTTACATTTGGTTGCTTTTTTTTGAGCTCACAATTTTTTCGCATTATTAGCGCATTTTCTCTTATATGAAAAAAATGCACTATTGTGCTCGCCATGTCCGTTTGTCCGTCCGTCCGTGACTTCACGTTTTCGTCGACGAGAAAATGCGCTCTCAGTCAGTCACTGCAGTGAGTACTAACTTATATTATTTTTTTCATGTTCTCGCACTTTTGTTCGTAATTTGGAATCGGCATTTTGTCTTATAATGTTGTTTAATTAACATTTCTATTTCGTCGTTGTTTTTATGTCGCATATTACTTAATTTTGTCGTACCGTTTTCGTATCTTATGACTAAGTTTCGTCGTCCTCTTCTCGTCTCTTATAATTCCAATTCGTCGTTCTCTTTTGTCTCTATTGCCGCAGTTTCGTCGTTTCCTTTGTTCTCTCCTTAGCTTTCACTTTCTTTGCTCGAATTTAAAACTTAGTATTTGCTTACGTAGTTCTAATTCACAATAAGATTCGCGTATATAATGACGATAAACCGGAAAATTTTGGACCTCCTTGTAGTTAAGCAATTTAATTTCTCACGGAAAACCTACTGAAAAATTCTAAGAAGCTGCTATCAAACCCATATAAATTTACGGGATTCATCTTCACTGTTTTGTTAGTATACAACAAAAGCAGAAGAAAACACGTTGAAAAAGATTAATACGGTGTTAATAAGAGGAATACTTTCCCCAAGAGTAAGCGTAGCTTTCGCACGGTACACAAGCTTTCTTGGACGCGCAATTGTTTCATTTTTGATTGCAGTCATGCTTGATGAGGTAGCCAGGATACTCGGAGAGCGTGTGAGGAAGATGAGTAGCGTATTCAACAGTAATTGTGGCGGCATTCGTAATAATATTAATAATCATATATAAAAGTTTCTGTCTCCGGCGTAAAGAGATCTGGAACGCACAGTTGGGTTTTCAGGATTTAAACTGAGTTATCAGTTCCCATTATCTCAGCCTTTTACCTCCTGCTGATATGTCAGACGACATTGTCCACAATCGGAATCATGCGAGGCGTAATCTTGGAAGGTGGAATGTCTACTATTGCCTGTTGTTCTATCCCAAAATTGTCTACAGCAAAAATTTGTGATTATTAGATGTAGAATATTGTACCTGTGTGCTAAAGTTTGTCTCTGCAATTTCAGTTTACAAGTTGAAAGTAAAGGGAAGAACATTTCGAATTCCTTAATCGAAACTTCGCCATCTGCCCGAAAGAGCGTTAACAATGAACAGTTCGCTCAGAACCGGAAGAGGTTGACGATGTTCATCTTGGAAAGTGTGAAGTGTTCTTCTAAGTGTCAAGAAATAACTGCCCCTTCACTTTATATCATCACGCTGCTAATTCAGTGACAAGTTTAACACGGAATAACAACATTTTTTCTCAAATTTCGCTCCTTGGCGAATTTAGGACAAACTGTTAACCAATATGTATTACAATAGGTTTTAAATTTAATCGGATAAGGCCAATTTATCTGCATAATATTAGTTTCTGAATGCTTTAACACTATTTTCTGGAAGATTGGTCATTTCTTTTAGAAATAAGTAAAGGTGCCAAATTCGTTCACATTCATTTCATAATCAACAGCGTTCCTATATGCTGAACGAACAAAAAACTAAATAAATCCACATAATGCTGCGTCAAAAGCAATGAATGTAACAGTAAAATTTAATGAGATAACTAAAGGTAATTGCTAGCATAGATAAGTAGATTGATAAATGTTTGTACTTTGGTCTTGAGTGAGTATAGACATTAAAATCATGTGAAAATAATATATTTATACAGATGTAATAAAGGAAAACAATATCCTTGAACTAGGTATTCTAAATGCTTGCCTTCAGTTTTTATTATAGCTTGTTCCTGTACGGATATTATTCTTAAAAACAAACCTAATTCATAAGCATAATTTTAAACGAGTCGAGAAATAATTGGAAAGCAACATTTTATAAAACAGTCAATAATTTGTCTATGAATAAATTTCAAGACCAGCATTATAAAAAATTAAAACAAGTCCAACACAAAAATTTCAAAACTTGGAACGAATGAGGAAGAGAACTTTTTTGTCGGCCAAGAAAAACAATGATTCAAATTGGAAGAGTTCCATTAAAGTCATCAACAAAAATAGCTATACAAAAAATACCATCGGAAATCTCAATGCATTATAAGCAGTTCAGGCAAACTGATCGGATGAAACGGCAAACTATCACCTAGAAAACGGATCCATGCTCTACATAAAACTATATAATGACAACAAACACGCTTAATATCCAGTAAAACTTTCATGATGTTCCCATAGACATTGAAAGTCCAAGGAATTTCTAATTGAGACACAATTGATGACACCAGGAAAGTAGAATGTAAACCACCTCAACGGTGTTTAAAAAAAACATATCTCAATATAAAAAAAAAAGATTCAAGTACTTGACAATTTATGACCACTTTGCACAGGAGACACCAATGCTACTGAGTATTTTTTTATGATAAAAATATTCAAGAAACTTAAACAGAGAATGATTTTCTATCACACTAAACGACATGAGATCAGATCACAAGTATGAACCGAGCGAACGGTCACGACCAACGTCTACTGAGCCAGACGAAATGTTGGTACATGAATAAACAATGGATTTAAAACAAAAAGTCAGTTCAATGTTCTATAGATTCTTTCTGTTGATATTGTTTAATCAGTATTAGCAGTGGATAGCGACCGATTAGAATTATTATCAATCCAACCCTATTTTAAACGGTCCTCAGACTGCTTTAGCATTACATCAGCTTCTCAGTGTTAGATAGACCATCATTAGCATGGAAATCATCATGCCCAATATTAAATCAACATTAGTGCAGCCGTTACCTTATCCAGTATCAATTAGATCAAAACTAACATCAGCAAAATCAGCGTCAGCTGTTGCAAAGGCATTATGGGCAGCATGTGTACAGGCTAAGCGTTATTCATCAGGACGAACAACAGACGGACGAGGGCTCTCATGTTGAACAATATCAGGGAGAATCTTATCAAGGTGAGCATAATCTTTAGTAGGAGTAGAATCAGCAGAAGTAGAAGTAAAATTATCGGCGGCAGGAGTAACATCATCTGCGGTAGGAGTAACATCAACAGCAGCAAGAGTAACATCATCAGTAGCAGGAATGGCTGCATCGGCAGCACGAGAAGCATTATCAGCAGCAGGAATGGAATTATTATCAGCAAGAACCAATGGTGTGCCCATGATGAAGAGCAACGGTTTGTCAGTGCTGATGTGGGCGCTGCCGTCGGGGGAGGCGAACTGGTTTGATGTGCTCACCAGCCCTCCGAACTGCACCACGCAATTCTCTGCACAATTATAAGGGTTTCAACAATTGGTAATTCTGCTGTTAAATTTTTTTTTTTTTTTTTTTTTTTAAATAAAGGCCTCCCACACTCACCATTCCGTTAAATATCCATAGAAAATAACATGAAAATGCTGGTAAGTGTGATTAGAACAAACTTGTCTTGCAAGTTCAAAAGTTTTTCTCACGCTCTTGATGGATTAGGTATAATTGGCAAAATGACATACTGATTATTTTGCATACCAGGTAAAAATAGGATTAATTTTCATTATTTTCAAAACCAAATTTCTCCTTAATACACTGATATGCCTACATGATAACGAGTGCAAGTATTATTATTTAAAACTTCCATTTATCTGATCATTCAGGAGCTTACCTACGTCCCACTTGAGACCCTTGGTCGAGACAACCGATGGACCAGAAAGAGGCACATAAGCACACCAGTTGTCTTCGGGGCTGGGGAAGCCAGGAGAAGAGATGACGTGATGCCCCGCCGACAGCAGGAAATGCACTGAACTCCCAGACAGCAGGATGACGGGCAGTGATGGCAACAACTTTTGTGCCTACAAGTTAGTCAAAGTGATAATTTCTTGAACTCTTCACTGAAAAATAATGACAAAATATAAGCCGCTACTGCGTAATTCGTGAGCATTTAAAAAATTTTTAGGGCATCAATAAATTAAAAAGATGCCTACAAAACAACGAATTACAAATTTAAATTCTCGACTGTGATCATTCGTATGAGAAAATCACATTTTGGACATAAACGCACCTTGTGCAGTGTGTTGATGTTGCCAAACACGTGATCAAAACGCAGGGCACTGATTTCAACAGCTACAAGTACAATCGAAACCTGAAAAGAAGATGTCACACTTTAAACAACTGTAACTGGGCGTAATAGCTAAAAACAATATCACATGATAATAAAAAAAAACACAAATGTTTTCTTTCTGGTATTTGGGGATGAGCAAAAATGTAGCACTACTTGATGCAGTTCATTATGCATTTCGTACAGGAGGGGCAATATATAGCAAGTCTTTGATATGAGATTTTCTCACTAAAAAAAAAAAAAAAAAAAAAGAGATTACAAAACATATGATCATAATCGATTTATGTTAAAAATGCATCAATCAAATCCGAACTCCACATTGAAGACCATTCAGAAATTTCAAGTTAAGCACATAAAAATAATTGAGCTACCTACCAGAGTGGTACCTACTTTAACCATTCCATATGCAATAATTTGAATAAAAATGAATCAAATTTACAATGCACACAGAACTTACAAACCTGAATCGAAGGACGAGATTCTAGATATTTATTCAGCTCCCTCAAGGCTTTGGTGAAGTCAGTTTCATCTTGTTCAGGAGTGGGAATGATATTCACGCCCAAGCGAGAGAAATGTTGGAGAATCTTGGGGTCCACGGAATCAAAATCACCAGAAATAAAGTCAGGGAGTGGTATACCAGTATGAAGAAATGGATAGAGCTTACCATTACATTGGTTAGTGGATTCAATCTGTATTGAATAGGAATTATTAGAGAGATTTTTAAAAACCAAATCATTTTTACCAGGTGAATTAGTAGTCTTACAATTGTCCTGATTCAGATTAAGCAAGAACTGAAGCGACTGTGAATTGAAACTCTTTGGACCAATACTCTCTGGCTTGATTGAATCCCCGGACATTGAGTTAAATTTTTTATGCTGTGAATTGTTGTTTATAGACGCCATGGAACTCGAGGCGCCATTAGACAAACAGTTCTTGTCAGGGTGGTGAAGGATGTACTTGTAGTAATCATTTGTGCCACCATCCACAGAAACCCGGACACAAGCTGAAACAAAATTTAACAGAACTCAGATGGAACAATGAATTAACAATATTTATTGATGAAAAAAGCAAGATGAGAAAGTTTCAGGCCTGAATGCAATTTCTATCATGTAGACAATAATGCAAAATTATTTTCAACTTTTTCAGTAATCATGATTATCAAAGATGATGACATTGACAATTGATTTCACAAGCTGTAATCTGTATCAAATATCAGGCACTGGATCTACAACAAATTAAATTAACAAATAAAGTTATGAATTCTTGCCTGCAATGTATATTCAAGCAATTAAACATAATATTTATAGATGCTTCTTTAATACACAGACATTGGCAAAGTATTTAAATTGAACCACCAAAAATTTTAAAAGCCACAAATAATAAAAGCCTAAATTATTAACAACATTCTACACACCTTTGCACCACAACTTTTGCAAGGAAGTAGCATTCTCCTTAGAAATGGCATGATTCAGCAGGAGCATGGCAAATTGCTCCTTTCCTTGAAGCAATTCAGCCACATTCCAAACATGCATTCCAGGTGTCCCAGGCATGATTTGAACTCTGAAAAGCTAATAACTTTCAACTTGCCAAACTTGAGTCCTGAAAAAGATAAAAAATTTAAATGTACGTATTGTAATAGAATGTAAAATAAACTTTCTTGCAAAACAAGATAATATTCTTTAATAATAAATCAGCTTTAATTTATCAGGCAAATTGTCTAATGTGAAAGATTGTTTTACATATGATTTTGGGGAATTTATTTTTTTTTTAAATATATAAGACAAGGGCCATGGGAAAAAGTGATATTGCTTGCACACTGAGCACATTTTTGACTTGATCACTGGCATTTTTTGGGCTTCTTGTCCGCTTTTTTTTTAAATGCCTAAAAACTTGATATTGGTTACCTACATAATTCATTAATTGATTATTGCTAAACTCATAAAGTCAAATCCTGAAATCCAAAAGGAGCAAATAGCAACTGAAATGAAAAAATCTTTCTTATAACTTTCTGCACCAACTTTGTTTGACAAATTGAACTGTTGCCAAGACAATAAAAATAGGAATTTCTGTTATTTAAGATTTTTCTACTTAATATTATTATATATAGGTATCTATCTAACTATTTCATTAATAAACTTAATTATAGTTTTCTAAATTCTATTTTTTGATGATACAGTAATATCTATAAAGTTACAATATTAATTTTTGAGTTACCATAATATACAATTCATTTGGGATTACCTTTTGTGTTTAAATTTCAAAGATCAAATTCAATGTCTTGCATTTACAAAATTCAAATGATGATGCTGCTATTGTGCCATGCTGGTAGTGGTACTGGTAACCATAACATAAGGTCTGATATATTATCAACAATATGACGTAACATGTCAGTAAATAAATTACTGTAATAACTGTATTCAGCTTAAGTTAATGGTCAGTTCATACCATACCATCATTATCATATGACTCAACAAATAAAGCAGGTAAGGGCCAGGCTGGAAAGACGCTGACAACCTGGCGTCCTGGCACCAGCCTACCCAGGGTGGTTTTTTCATATCAACTATTCAGATCTGGAGACAGAGACTCAGAGAGGCTGAGATCAAGTATCAATGTCTTCAATGACTGAATGAGGAACAAGCAGAAAAATATATAATGATCATCATTCTATTCATACTCATTTTCAGTTATTCAGTAAGAGGCAAATACTCAATGTTACTATTATGTTAGTAAGTACTAGTAGCACATGTCTTGTACAGTTGTATTTAGCCTAAGCCTAACTGCTTTCACCTGAGTTTCAAGTCTTCACAAAACTAATTCCATGAGAAAGTCAGCAGTCATCGTCAGCCTGTCCCACTCCCTAGGCAGCCGCAGTCTTGCAGTGCCGCAGTCAGCCGAACGCGGTGCGGGTTCTACCGATTCTTTTTTTTCTTTAATTGGAATTTATGGGAGCCTCTGAAGACTGGTTCAATGCGGCTCCATGTCAGAACAGTTGAAGGAACTTGACTGAATTATGTTTTCTTGTACAAAATTGGGTGTATTGAAAAAAAATAACTCAAGATTTCTCAATGGCTGAAGGGTTCCAGAACAGGGCCACCAAAGTGGAGACCACACCGGGGCGGAGAGCACCACTCCAGGGCAGACAGCCCCACTCCAGGGCAGAAAGCCCCACTCCAGGGCAGAAAGCCCCACTCCAGGGCAGAAAGCCCCACTCCAGGGCAGATGTATCTGTTGAGCTGAATAAAGGGTATTCAACCAAGTATTAAATTAAAATAATGCGGATTTATTGTTTTGTACGAATACTTTTTTCACCCGAAAAGTGAACATGTTGCATTGTTTTTTGTTGCATTGAGATTTGATTTCTTTTGATAGTATTTTTGAATACTACGGTATGCGTCTCTATACATAATTCAAATCACTTTTCCTGTTAAGTTTGTGTACTTACATACATTAAAATACGATTTTTCAAGTGTACGAATATTTATTTCCCCCCACTGTATATTCAAGCAATTGAACAGAATATTTATAGATGCTTCTTTAATGCACAGTCAATGGCAAAATAGGTATTTAAATTGAACCACCAAAAAAGAATAAGCATGATAATAAATAATAATTAGGCATGTTTGTAATGTATAGAATTCAATTTTAAAAGCTACAAATAATTAAAGCCTAAATTATTAACAACATTCTACAAACCTTTGCACCACAAATTTTGCAAGGAAGTAGCATTCTCCTTAGAAATGGCATGATTCAGCAGGAGCATGGCAAATTGCTCCTTTCCTTGAAGCAATTCAGCCACATTCCAAACATGCATTCCAGGTGTCCCAGGCATGATTTGAACTCTGAAAAGCCAATAATTTTCAACTTGTCAAACTTGAGTCCTGGAAAAGATCAAGAATTGAAACATATTGTAATATAATGTAAAATAAATTTTCCATGTCTAACAAAACAATATTCTTTTATAGTGAATTGTACAGCTTTAGGTTATTTGACAATGATATAACATTAAATTGTTTAATATAAAAGAGAAAATGCAAGAAACCTTTATATCTGAAGCTAGTCTGAGTGTGATCATCAGTGAAACTAGGAGATTACCATTAAAGAGCCTCCAAGATCCCATCTGAAGCTGAATAGTGCATGATATGCAATAGCATAAAGGTGATCATGAGATGTAACTTATTTTTCTAAGAGTAACATTATTTTTTGGTTATAATTTGCAAATTTGATCATTTTTCATTCAGTTGCCATGCACTTTATTTGATCACAAAATATAGGTAACTTCAATGCCAACATTGTATACAAGAGCCTTGTACTGCTTTAACCTTAATCGTAGTTCAACTGCATTTATTACCTATACCTATTTACCAATGAAAGTAGTTCGACCTAACACAGGAAAGTATTTCATCAAATGGTTTAGTAGAATTTCTACTATTGCTTGTATTTTAACATGTATATAAATTTTTTCACATATGTGAATTACAGTGAATACTAGGTGACCAGGGGGCAGGGGCGTCAGGTAAAAGTGTAGTGTGAAAGTAGTCATTAGTGATTGAACCTGCAACTCCAACCACAGCACTCTAATTTACCTTCAAAGTCATGTTGGCTTGATGGAGAGCATGGAAGGATATCATCATACGGTATATCCTTCCTTGTGCATTCCAGGTATTTTCCAACTCATTCCAACTCGTAGTACATAAATATAACCTTGAGGGACATATTTTACAGTCTAGAGTCTTGTAAAGAATCCTTAAGATTACCAATAAAAGTTTGGGCTTCAAACTGGAATATTAGCTACTAGCTTCCTTTTTATTGAGCAAATTGTCTAAAAATTATAGCTGTGAATGATTAGTTTGCACGTGATCTTGGGAAATTTAATTTTTATAATATTATAAGACAAGGGCCATGGGAAAAGGTGAAATTGCTTGCACACAGAGCATATTTTTGACTCAATCACTGACATTTTTTGGCTTCTTGCCTGATTCTTTTGTTTTAAAATGACTAAAAACTTGATTTTGGTTACATAATTCATTAATTGATAATTGCTAAACTTTATAAAGGCAAAGTCCTGAGCAAAGTCCACTAACTGTTGCTAACTTGCTATTTGCCAAAAGGAGCAACTAACAACTGAAATGGCAAATTCTTTCTGTAACTTTCTGCACCAACAAATTGCAGTTGACAAAATAATATAGGTAATAAGGTAAATGCACCATATTCCGACATCGTGGGTAATTCCAACACTTCTGAACTTTTTTCTTTATATTAAGCTTTGTCTTAGTACCATGCATGCGTAGATATTTGAAATAGTGACGCCATACTATTGCACATCAGATTTATGCAAAGTACTAGGTTTGGCGGGATACTGTTAAAATCCTCAGAGCAAAAGTACACGTCACCCAGTGAGAACATCGAAAAACGTGTCAGAGTTGATAGTTGACCCTGCTGAGCTGCTCTACCAAATAGTGATAAACTGTTTGTGTAGAAAGAATATTATGGTTTGAGACTTCTAAATAAGTCTGTGGATATATTAGGAATCCTTTAAGTATACCTACTTGTACTTGCTGATTTCAAGTGGTAAATCTTTGGTGATCTTAATAGAGCCATTCATTTTTTGCTACATCCTTAAAGTGTCGGAATATGGTGTGTTTTCCCTAAAAAAATTTCTAATTTCAAGATTTTTCTACTTAACATTATTTACTTATTTATCTAACAACAAAAATTTTTGAGATAGCCTATGGTGCTACCTATAAATTTAGGTACAATATCAACTGTTGAGTTACCATTCATTTTGGATTTCCTTATATCTTCAAACTTCCAAGATTCAATTCAATGTCTTACATTTACAAAATTCAAATGATGATGTTTCATGCTGGATTGCTGGTACTGGTAGTGGTAACTCATAACTGGTAAGGTCTGGTTGTCTATGGGTCTTATAGCACCTAAAATTGAACTTGAAGAAGAGTCTAAAAACCTCTCTGCTTTTCCACTGTGTGTCTACCTAGTCACTAGTGTCTACCTACTCTGGCTACTCAAATGTCATTAGTCATAACTCATACCGCCATGGCGCCATTATTATGCGTCATACGACTCAACAAATAAAGCAGGTAAGGCCAGGCCCAGGCTGGCAAGCTGCTGGCACCGACCAGCCTGCGCTGCCTGCCAGGCTGCCAGGACAGCCAGGTAACCAGGGTAGCTACTAGTCTTTTCATAGCAACTATTCAGATCCTGAGAGGCTGAGAGTGAGATCAAGTATCAAAGATTAACAAGCAGAAAAATATATGATAATCGTCGTTCGATTCAAACTCATTTTCAGTAAAAGGGCAAATACTCGATCACGAACTTAGTAAGTAGAACATGTCTTTCACTTAGCGTCACGGCCCTCACTTGAGTTTCATGTCTTCACAATACTGATTCCATGAGAAAGTCAGCGACTCAGGTCTCAGCGGTCACCGTCAGCCTGTCCCTAGGCAGTCTCGCAGTGCCGTGCAGCCGCGTTGGGGTTCTGCCCGTTCTGCCGGTTCAGACTGTCACCTGTGCAGTTTCTTTTGACGTTTGACCATATTACGAGTCCTATGATTTTTCTGTAGCTGCGGATTTTTCATTTATCATACTAAAATATTTTTCTGTAAAAAAGGGTGTGAGGGGGAAAGCCATCGTAGTTAAAGAATAGAGGTTTCAGCGTTTATTATTATTAGGTCGTTGGCCTGTCGTCAATTCTTAACATCGCACAACATTCACAACTTGTTACAGTTTCGAACACGCAACTCACTGCTCTAATTCTGTTGTGCTTAATTAACCGCCCGGTTTCCACCCCGATTCTGACCAGAAACTCGAAAACCGCACCCATCTGCACCAATCCTGGATTCCTGGTACTCTGAACCACTGGGCCACCCTGCCCAGTAACACAGATTGCAGAAAATATGTAATTTATGCTAAACAAAAACTTATTTTGACTTACTGACTTCTATTTGATCAATTTTTCGTTTATAAAATCATTTTAAACCATACCTTAACTATCTAATGAATCAAGCATTACGTTCCAGTGAAAATAATAATAGCTGTTTCATCGTTTATTAGGCCGTAGGCCTGTCGCCGATTCTGTTAATCGCAGAACATTCACAGCATTTTGCGGTCTCGAACTCGCAACTCACTGCTACAATTCTGCTGTGCTTAACCGCCGCGGCCTCCTTGCCGATTCTGACCAGAAACTGGCGCACAGCGCTGGGATCGAACCTTTGCGCCAATTTTGGTACTCTGAACTTTAATAATATAATAATAATATAATAATAATATAAAATAATAATTAATGCCTAGCTCCTTATCGAACCCGGTGGAAGTCTAGTAGCTACTTCAAACTATCGCCAGTCATGAAAAGATCCGGTCAAATGACACGAGTTTAGATCTATGAACAAGGCACGAAAAGGAAAAGAATCGGCGACAGGCCACATCAGGCCTACACTTCAGCGCCGACATCACTATGTTATGTTATGTTAACCACTGGACCACCCTGCTCAGCGTTTGATGCTACTAAGTGCATATAAAGTGTTTGCACTTTGCAAATGTATTTTAATTTTCCAAATGAGCATCGGATGTAAATATAAGGCGAAAATAAAAACCTTTTCAGCGGATTAGTGCAAA